GTTATAGCCTGCGGAGAAATGATGAACAATAACGTTATCAAAGCTCTGTCATCCACAGTGTTGTTCACTGGCTTCGGTAATTAGCTTAACGCTGAACTAAATACCTAATAAACCAAAATATCTTCGCTTTTACTCGTCTATTACATGCTACAAATTACGACTATTTTCAGTAAAATGTCGCAACACAAACTAAAAATAAAAAAAGCTATTTACAGATTTTTTTGTTATTTGATTATGTTTTACCTCAAGGGTTTATTTATAATTATACAAGAAAAATACCAACTTTCTGAATAATTAATAAAAATACTAACTGATAGTCAGATGTTATTTGGTTGATGTTAACAAAAGGGTAAGCATAGCTTTTAGTTTTCTGCTCATATCAATTACTATGCTGTTAAAAGATTAAGAGTTTTTTGATAACATTTGCTTCAATGATGCAATAAACCAGGCATTTTAGTTTACTACTGAGGGGGGTTGGATGGTTGAATGGTTAGGATGTGCGCGCTGTATCATAAAGCCTGTCATTGAGTCAACTGGCGTGGTTTCGAATCCCCGTTTGTACGTGACAAGGAGTAGGGTCGCCTGTCCAACCTCGTGGGTTTTCTCCAGGTCCTTCGGTTTCCTCCCACTGCTAAAGACCCCTACGCGCAAGCGAATTATGTAAATAAAATTAAACCATATGTTAGTCACGAAATGACCTAGTTTGTGTCGAGTGGACGTTAAACCCAATTTCTCTCTCAATGTGTTATGTAAGAGTTAAAGTGGCTAAGTCTCTAAACCAATATAATCCAAAGTCTTCCCCGTTGAAAACACAAATTATTTGTCATTTATATCAACTTTGATGTTGTGATCTTACCAGGAAAGGATGGGCTTCTGACATCCAATATTTAAAACAAAATAAACATTTTACCATTGATACACGAATCGTGTATCATAATGCGTTTCGGCACCATTTGTAACAAGGGTCAAGAAAGAACGAGGTTAGATATATTCCACAAGTCATATCAAACGGTGACTCCATATTCTTATCTGGAGAGCATGCGCAATAGACTGGAATAACCAGACACTATCGCTAGAGATTGCCATTCGATTGAGACACTTCTGGCGTATTTTGACTAACATAACTGATTTGAAATTAGAGTAAAAACAGAGACGATTGAATGTAAATCAGTTTATATACATTCATATTACGTGTTCGATCCCTGCATTGGCCGAGAAAGTTCATCCAGATTTTCCGGCGTGGTTCTCCCTTGTCAGTGATGCAGGACGGAGGGGCTGACAAGGAAAGCTGTCTAGTCGTTCGGATGGGACGAAAAACCAAGGTCCCGTGTACACATTGGCGTGCACGTAAAAGATCCCTTTGCAGTTGGAATTCGATATAAGAGTAGGCCGTAGTGACGCTGTCCTGGCAAAATTTCCCTCATAGCACACTGTATGGCTTATGCCCGTCTTCATTAGCCCAGGTTAGGAGCAGAACAGTAGGACGTTAAACTCCATTTCATTTCATTTCATTTACATTCATATTACAGTATTATATGTGTTGTGACCAATTTGTGTCCATTTCTAGGTCCCAAATATAAGCGATTAAGCTCCTTTAAAAATGCATTATGCAAGAGCTAAATCTGCCTATTGCAGGTCTTTCTTTAGGCCTGAAATCTTATCTAAATTATTAATTAGACATTAATTAACTTAACCAGACCATAATCAACTCTTGATGTCAAGGCTGGCCTTCGATATCGACTGGATTAGAATCCTATATGCTGCAAACGCTCATTGATAATTAAATCATTAATTAGACATTTATTTATTAACTTGCCAAGATTATAATTAACTCTCGATGCCTTCGGATGCTCTAGATTTTCAGCAGATTCAGATTAGATTTGTGGTTAATGATTCAATTTAAAAGTGGATAATCAAGGCTTTGTTTATAGTAACATCGGTAGCAATCACCTTTGTGACTATACCGTTCTGCAATCGACGATAACCCTGTTCAGAATGGAGTGATTTTACTGAAATTTTCAGCATATTCACTTTTCATTATCTATTTCTTAACTATTTATTTTCTTTTTATTTACTTGTAGTATTAGATAACTTTCAGTTTGTTTGTTTTTTCAAATTTGTACTTTTATGATATTCCACAACATGGGTTTTCTTCGGGTCCTCTGGTTTTCTTGCACTGCTAAAGACATCTACGCGCAGGTGAATCAGTGAAATAAAGTTGAACCATATGTATGCATTACAGTGCATATATTTTTAGCAAGGAATTTTCTTCAAATTAGAAAGTTTTGGTAGCTCGGGAAATTTCCGTTATCATTGATTTTGGCTGGAATCCAGATGCATGTGAAGTAATAATGTTAGAATTTTCAGATTGCTCGTCAGCTAGCAATATGTGCAGGATGAGTAAAGCAAGCAATCAAAATTGATTGCTTTAAAATATTATTTAAATGGAGTTGAGGTCAAAAGGCTTACATGGTCAAATGGTCTGCCAGCCATGTTTAATTTCGAAACTCCGTTCATATCGCAGTCTTCAGTAAGAATGAAGATTTGTGCAGAAATTATACTCCTAAATGATCCTTAAAGCGGTGTTAGGTAAGATTAGATAAAGAACTGACAGTTTTCGCTATAATAGTTAAACAATAGATAATGAAAACAAAATATGCTGAAAATTTCATCTTTGTTGTCATTACTAACATTGGTATGATAGAGTCCCGATTCATTTTTAAGTTAAATTATTCAATCCAGTACATATCACAGCCTAACGATGGCATCAAGAGTTGATTATGGTCTGGATAAGTGAATTAATGTCTAATTAATAGTTAAGATAACATTTCAGGCCTAAAGAAAGACCTACAATAGGCAGATTTAGCTCCTGTATAATGTATGTTTAAGTGTTAAAATCAGTGGACATGTATATATAATTATAATATACAAAGTAGCATGGATACATATTCTCAAAGAAGAACGTATTGAACAGAAACAAACACAACAAAAAATTTAGCAAAAAACATTTCTGGTATAGAAGCAGTAACTGGATGAGGTGTTGAGCACCTCACGTGTGGGAGATATTAGAACAGTTTCCCTACTATAACAATTAAACGGACATTGTGACTGGATAATATTAAAATCTATAATATTCACCAGTGATGTTATGTCAGTGTTATTGGAATCCCAGCAACAGTGGAATATAAATACAGACAGGGTAGGCTATACTGACTATTGATCTTGTGTAACGAGAAACGAATCACGTTGTAGTAACAACCACAATCTGTATTCTCTGTAACATACCAACGTTAGATGTAATAAGCTCGTACACTACAGTACCAGTTGATCTCTCTAATTATTACGACTGACCAGACCTAATCACATCTAATTGGCTTGATGGACTCGAGTCACTGGACCTTATTTAATAAACTTTCCCTACATTACCTTTTATAAGACATGCAGCTTTTGTTAATTTTGTAAAAATGACATCAAATATTTTGTTAGTATTTACTGAATAGGACATAAAGAATAAAAATACAAAAGTTGTTAACTTTGTGAATTTTCCCATTTAATAATAATATTTATTTTTTATTATACGCATTACATCGTAAAATGCGTAGTACAAAAACATATGTCATATAACAAAGTTAAAAATAAAAGCAATAGTAGTGTAAGTGAATCATTCTGTGTAGTGCTTTTGAGGTGTTTTTTTGAAGGAGTCCAGGGAGAGAGTTCCGTAATCAAAGGGCAGCATTAGCGAAGGCACGCTTGCCGTATATCAGCTGGAGTGACATCAGGTGGTGTTTTAGAGTAGCAGGCGTGGATAGAAGATGATTGTTAAAAAGATCAAGAGCTGATGGAATCATGTAATATTAGATATTAGCATAGTAAACTGCATTTGCTTTTTCATAGATTTTCGAAGCTGCAGTCGCCAGGTAGAAGATATTGTTTATTAGAAATACTAAGCAAGCTATAATGTTACTGTTTTGAACTGCATTTGCTTTTCGATAGATTTTCGAAGCTGCAGTCGCCGGGTAGAAGATATTGTTTATTAGAAATACTAAGCAAGCTATAATGTTACTGTTTTGAACTGCATTTGCTTTTCGATAGATTTTCGAAGCTGCAGTCGCGGGGGAGAAGATATTATTTATTAGAAATACTAAACTGCATTCACTTTTCGTTAGTTTTTAGTATCGTAGGGATTTCTGAAATTAAAGCTACTTTTCGTTATATTTTGGACGCTGCAGCTGCGGAGTAGAAAATATTATTTGTTAGTAATATTAAACTGAAGGAATCGTGTAATTCATATTAAATATTAGAATTCTAAACTGCATTCACTAATTTATTAGATTTCGGAAGCTGTAGCTGTAGGGTAGAAAATATTATTTGTTAGTAATATTAAGCTGAAGGAATCGTGTAATTCATATTAAATATTAGAATTCTAAACTGCATTCACTAATTTATTAGATTTCGGAAGCTGTAGCTGTAGGGTAGAAAATATTATTTGTCATAAATATAAAGCTGATGGAATCATGTAATATTAAATATTAGCATCATAACCTGCATCCATGATCTATGTGCATAATTGATTTGGTAGATCAACACATGGAGCATTATATCATATAACTGCTATTTAACATAACACAGGACAGATGGCTTGTCAGAGATCTTAGAGAACAGCTTCAATTTAATGTGATGTAAAGTGCATAATTATATCTGTCAAATAACTTGTACGTTTATTGGAACCGGATGTAGAACGAGACGTTAGATGTTGGATGTTTAGTGAAATGATTTCGTAATACTGGTGATAAATTCCATGCAAGTGATATTGATCGAGGTGGATAGAGTAATATATCTACTACTATATAATAGATTCCCTCATACCACCAGCCCTTCGGTGTGGAGAAAACATTTCAAAATGTGATATATTTATAGTAAATCAATACCAAAATATGAAAGAATTGCAGAAAAGAATCGGTGTATTACAATTATAACTCGTTCCAGTGTACGTACTGGAACGTGTGCTAGCTGATTGTGAAGCAAAACTTGACGACGATGTTTTACTTACAAATGTAAATCAATGTGAAAATATGAAAGACTTGTTTTATTAGAATTATGACTAATAATATTTGTTTATTAGAATTCTCCAGTGAGGTTCTGGTGTATAGGAATGTGTGATAGCTGATTTCGTACCAGAACACTCAATATTTTACATACAGATGTAAGTTGGTGAATGAAGTCTTCAGAGAAGATTATTATTAGGTCCGTTGTGTTTGAGATGAACTGTTTGTATTATTGACTCGGGTCTCTTAGCGTGAAGTGAAGTGTGGTTTGTTCCCGTGAAGTCTTATCTGATGGGACAAAGCGTAAAGTGAAGTCTGTTCACGTGAAGTCTTATCTGGTGGACGAAGGATGACCGAACACGTATATTGGATGAAGATAAAATTGAAAAGATCAATTCTGGTTTTAATAAGATTGTCATGAGCAGTTGGTCATTTTGTTGGATTCTCCGTGAATTAGACATCTTAATCGGTTTGTTCGTGGACTTCTGTGTAAGGTACATTTCTTTGATATATATATCTTTTTTTCGGGGAGCCACAGTGGCTCAGGGAGTAAGACGCTGGCTCGCTGCTAACCAGGAGGTCTCAAGTTAACTCCAGATGTTAGCCGAGAAAGTTCCTCAGAATTTTTTCAGCGTGGTTCCCATTTGTCAATGTATGCCGGATAGAGGACCTGGCTGGGCCTGTGTCTGGTCGTTCAAATGGCATGAAAAATTGAGGCTCCCTGTACACATTGATAGTTGGAGTTTGAAATAAGGGAAGGCCGCTGTCCGGCCCAAATTTCATTCATTTCACTCTTAATGACGTAAACCAATCTTCATAAGCCCAGTTGGTGCAGAAAAGTAGGACGCCAAACCCCATTTTATTTTTAAAAAATTGTATTTTAAACTGTTAATCATACCACCGTAATATAATTTGGGGTCACTTTTTTCTTTCGCTTCTATTTATTTGAAGGTCAGTCGCATATTTAGTTTTATTTTTGATTAGTGAAATAATATAGTTGTTTGTGTTTATATATGCATTGGCATGACTAGTAATAATACTGGGTCTCTAATCTTCACAAAGTTGGTTTGCTAGCTTATAGTCATTAGTGTCGCTTCTCGAGCAGAGATAATAGTAAATAGTGTTAGTTTTGTATGTGCATGTAGATTGGGATTAGTTTTATATTAGGCTCATTGATCTTCTTGTAATCATGCTAATTGTTAATTAATTTATAAATTCTAAGTGTTTATTATAACCTTTATTACATTAAACACTTTCAAATAATATCACATGGTTATTCCCTGACACTGGGGAGTGGTGGAGGCCGAATTTCTAGCGTCGGCGCTGTAGATCATAAAGTCATGTGATATGGTTTTGATTCCCCACTTGTACGCGACAAGAGGTAGGGTCACCTGTCCAAACTTGTGGGTTTTCTCCAATTTCCACCCAATTCTTTATTTGAGTTACACGGACTAATAATATGTTTGCGTTTGTTTGTGCTAGTAGGTTTATGGTTATTTCACAAGTGTTTTGTAGGTGGTCAAATGAATTTGTTAAAGTTTTGGTCAATAGTTTCTGCACTGAAATAATTTTAATTCGCAAATTCGCAAACAATCTGATTGGATGAATTTACTTGAACTAACAGGATGAAAACATTGATTTGTAAAGATTACTGATCTCTAAAAGCTAGAGGGTCCTTAATTAAATACGGAGCGCTAAATAACCATATTTACGAAAGAGTTAATTTTGCACGTTTTGACTCTTTATTGAGAGAGCATGAAGGTTTTACCGCTAGGAAACAAATGAAGTTTGTGATTAGCTACAAGAACCAAGTATTGATGAAATCTTTCGGAGATTAAATATATTCCTGGCAAATCTATAAAGAGTTCCGCTTAAACTAACCAGTCATTGAAAACAAGTTTGATTTACGATTAAGTTAAGTAACTCGTGGCAGCAGACATCTTTAATCGTAGCGGTTAATTTGGATGGATGGATTGTTACCTCACGATTCTTACGCTAAATTTGGATGTTAAATTTGTCTGAGGAGAGCATCAGAGATCGTAAGACATTTATCAGTTTTGGCTAAGAATTTACTATAGGTTGCTGGGTTAACCGGGTAGCTCAATAACCCAGAGATTCACGATTGGATCCCAGTGTGGATGAGGAAGTTCCTCAGGATTTTCCGGTGTGGTTTCCCCTTATTATCAGTGGTGCAATAGAAATGAAATACGGTTTAATGTCCAAGTTTCTTGCACCTACTGGACTAATGGCCCTAGTTTCATGCATCTACTGGCCTAATGGTCCGAGTTTCTTGCATCTACTGGGCTAATGGTCCGAGTTTCCTGCACATACTGGGCTAATGAAGACGGTGTCAAAGATAAAGGATCTGATCAGGAAGTGAATGGTGCAGAAAACTTTTGAGTCTTGTATGCGCGTAAAAGAACCCTTAGCAAAATTTCTCTCATAGCACACTGCATGCCGTATGCCCATCTTCATTAGCTTGGTTTATGCTGCCTGTCCAACCTCGTGGGTTTTCTCCGGGTCCTCCGGTTTCCTCCCACTGCTAAAGACCCCAATGCGCAAGCGAATTATTGAAATAAAATTAAACCATATGTTAGTCCCGAAATGACCTAGTTTGTGGCAAGTGGATGTTAAACCCCATTTCTCTCTCTCTCTTTGGTTTATGCTAGGTTCTCACTATCACGATTCGCGCTACGATTGAAATCGTGGTTTTAATTGTGGAGTAATCGTCGTGATCCTCCTATCAGGTCTTATATATTCTGGTCAGTCGTGTTGATCATATTGAAAAGTTTCAGAACGTTGCCGCACGTAACAGATCGTGAACTCAATAGGGACATTGCTATCGTAATGCATCGCACAACAGTGGGGATCTAGCATAATGCAGGAAAGTAGGAATTTAAACCTCACTTCAATTAAATTCAAATATCTCGAACTGGTAAATTTTTCTACTTAATGGCTGAACATAAAACTCTTTCGTCGGCGTTGCTAAAATGAATGGAATTCAATATTAGTACCCGTATCAAGACAATAAGCAATACTGTCACGTTATATAAATTCTGACTTAAGTCGATCGCAGTGTTTTTGTAACCCAAAGGAATAAGCTATACAGAGGTTATTAATATTACCGCTATTACAAAGAATTCTGTAGAACGTTCATGCCAGATTTTTCAGACTGACTGTTAGGAATAATGAAAACTTATGGATTTGTTTATCGTATATTGTTTGAAGTTTCTCGTCTAAATGAAACAAGATTTGAAAGCAGATGATAAATTATAAATGAAGCTTTGTGTTTATGTTTAATACTGTGATAAAGTTGTATTGTAATCCTCCCATTCACCACAACCAACGACTAACATCGGTCAGAGTTCAAATTATCAGTCAATATGCTCATTAATATTTCATGGTCTTTGTTTCATTGTTTGTTCAATCAATGGTGTTAAGTGAAGATTTTCTGTATCAAAAGGCCTTATTAGTACTAGTAGCATTTGGGTGGAAGAATATTTGTCTGTCTCTCTTTTGAGTAGACTGATGTTTTGGACACGGAAGTATATAAGAGGTAACAGGTTAGGGATTTTGACAGAAGTTAAAAGGGAGCTATATAGGAGCTAGTTTAGTCTTTCAGACAGACTTTTAATAGGAGATGGTTTAGGGTTTCTGTCAGACATTAAATAGGAGCTAGTTTAGGGTTTATGACAGACTTTAAATAGGAGCTAATTTAGTGTTTCAGATAGAAGTTAAATGGGAGCTAACTGGTTACGGTTTCAGACTTGTTTAGATTTCAGTTCACGTTAAAAACGTCAACTTTAATATGATTTCTTGTCGATGATAATCTGTCTGGTAAAGCATCGAGTGCACGCCACAACAATTTTCCATCACATACATTTCCTTGGCTGTCAAACCTCGTGGGTTGTCTCCAGCTCCTCTGGTTTCTTTCCACTGCTAAAGACCCCTTCACGCAAGCAAATTATTGAAGTAAAATTGAACCATGTGTTAGTCCCAAAATGACCTAGTTTGTGTCGAGTGGAGCTTAAACCCTCTCTCTCTCTGGTTTCCTTGGTAATTATATGTCATGCATGATAATTTCTTATAGCTTATCTGCTCGTGTCTTTAGTTATTTGCATCATTTCTTTCATTATTTCTGTGATGTTCAATATTTGTTTTATTTATTTCATCAATACAGTCCATATTTCATTCATGATTTTTTATTGGTCTTTAAATCATCAATGGATGAAGAATTGTTAAAGATTTTTCTTATACATGTATATGATCTCTTAGTAATTTTGGGGTGGTTTTTTTTTTTTTTGCATGCTTCTTTTGTGGTTCTTTCTAACAGAGTCTGTTTTTTGGGGGGGAACCACAGTGTCTCAGCGATAAAGACCTGCGTTGGCCGAGAAAGTTCATCAAACTTTTTCCGGCTTGGTTCCCCCTTGTCAGTGATGTAGGACAGAGGGCCTGATAAGGACAGCTGTCTAGTCGTTTGGATGGGATGAAAAACTGAGGTCCCATGTACACATTGGCATGCACGTAAATGGGCAAAATATCCCTGATAGCACACTGCATTACATATGCCTGTCTTCATTAGCCCAGTAGGAGTAGAACATTCAATCTGGTTAAAACACAGATCCTATTTCGTTTCGTTTTGTTTTATAGTTCAAAATTTTGTTTTACTTGTCTTTACTACACGTGGATCTGGAAGAGTTGTTATTTAACTCGTGTTCTGAATGGCGTCAGGGATAAGCCAATGAAACGGTCTGTTACGGCAAGCTTTAGGCGTTTTTTTCACAGAACTGTGGGTAATCCACTAGTAACATCAATGCTGATTGGTTAATCAAATGTCTGACGTCATAGGGTCATAAGTCGGTCTTTTGACCCCTGACATGACCTATCGCTATAACTTGTCAGATCTTGATGTAGTGTAGGCCATCGAAAGTATAAAAAAATGAAACAAAATATAGATCTGTATTTTAATCAGATTAAACATTAAAACCCATATCATTTCATTTTAGTTTTTTGATGTGTTTAGTTTTTTAAAGATAAATTCGTGATTAGGATGGTTGAGTAGAAGCTCTGTTTGCATGCTTCTGTATTTTATTTGTATGTTTTGGGGGAGGGGGAGGTTGTTTTTGAGTGATCTTAGAAAGTTGAACAGAAGCTCTATTTCAGTTTGTTGTAAATAATTAATTTTATATAAGTGCCTCAAGAAAGTAGAACTATGATTCGACCCCTTTGTAGATGAAATGACAGTCAGGTTAAATATTTCTGTTTGATTGGATGATTTGACATTGAATAACCCATAAGTACCTCGTAAGAAGAATTATGATGTAGCTTCTACGTTCTTCAGTCGACCTCCTTTTAGTAGAAATAATATCGTTATTAATGAAAACCATTCTGAACAGTTTTAAGCTCAAATTCCGTAATTATATATAATTGATGCTGTCTGGAAGTCTAGACTCATCTTCTCTAAGATTAAAATATAAACTGAGAGCCAAGTTCAATCAATAAAATCTTGTTTGTATATTACAGTAACATCCTGAGGTACCGTTTGTTAGAGGCTGTCTTGAATTAAAACATGGATTCGTAAAGCTACATTTAGTTCAGTTGGTGCTAGAAACTTCTACGATATCAAAACCATGATAATATTTAGACAGCGTGGCTAAAGCACTTGGATTAGACGTGTGTTTGACAGATCAATGCTTTCTTTGTCGACGGGAGAAGGTTTTTTTTTTAAAAAGATGCGTCTCTGACACGCAGTTAGTTTTACTTATCTTTACGGATCAATCGTAATCCGGTTTGCTTCCACACGACTCATGAAACAGATTTCTCTGGAGATTCCAATCGATCGGTAAAAAATAAATCATGTGATTAATCTGTGTGTTATAACATTGGTCGAAGTTTTTAGTTTGACAACCCTCGTACTTTCTAAAGAGATATTTGAAACTTGTTTTACATCAACTTATCAATCAGTTTTACATATTTAAAATCAAAAATTGTTTTTGTAGGATTGAAAATGTTTGTGACGTACTACAAAACGCAGCTTGTAAAGTGACTTAATGTTTAATTATCAGTTTTACATATATTTAAAATCAAATATTATTTTTGTAGGATCGAAAATGTTAGTGACATACTACAACACCAACTTGTTGAATGTTTATTGAAGTGAAGATGCAACTGGTGATCAGATAACATTAAATAGCTAAAATTGTTTTTCCTGTGAACAAATTTATACGATACTGGGACTAACATTTAGAAATTACATGTACAAAGACCTACTTATTAAATTGTTTTTGTGTGAACAAATTTATGCGATACTTATTAGATTAGATATGTTGAACCAGAAAAATAAAATGCTAGAAGTGATCTCGTCTGTTTCGTGCTGAACTGGCTTCTTAAATGAAGCCTGATAGACTGTAAAGTCATGATTTGATTCAAATTGGAACGCTTGAAATAAGATTTAACAACGAAATTTACAGCAGGGAAGTAACTACGTTAGAGAAGGCATCATGGGTAATAAAATGAGTGATACGATGGGAGCGAAGTTGACGCAGGTTGGAGAATTTATTGACAAGAAGATAAAGAAGAACGAAGGTAAATTGTAATGGATTCATGTTCGTTGTCTCAATTTGTTTCAAATTTATTTAAAGGTCATATATAACAAGGTTATCATGTTCGTAGAACAAGCAAGTAACTTTAAACCAGTGATAACAGACACTGACTTGACTGCAAGAAGTAGAAAAGGTGTGATTTGTACATTTGCCCTTATATAAATCTACTGTACAGGTGAATATGTATGGATCAGTGATGGGATTTCGCCCGTATATTACGGACATGTCCGACACTATTTTCCAAACGTCCTAAATTGTCCGACCTGGAATATGCCCAATCGGACATCGAGTAACTACCACTCAACTCAATTATCTTTGATATTAGGCTGGATTGATTAGGTAATTAAGTGATCAATATATTTATCGTGTTATACTGTCTATAGACCTCGAAAGATTTAATGTGTGTAGAGAAATCATGAGCTATTGGTCTGGTCTGTTAATACTTCCATATTGAAGTATAGTACTAGCATGGGTATCATGTTCACAGGACAAGATACTTTGAATCTGTGAACATAATTATTGTAACCTCATGACAAAACGGTGATTCATACTCATGGGTGGACTCCATGAGCTATCAGTGAGGTCTGTTAACACTTCTCTATTCAACAGTACTATTGTATAGATATCAATTTTGGTATATATTTTGGTACATTTTGTTGCATAGAAACAGGCATCTCATTCACAAAAACTTAATCTAAATTACTTTAAGGTTGTAGCCTTTTCATCAATCTGATTAAAATACAGATCTATATTTCATTTTGTTTTTTTATACTCTCGATGGTCTACACTACATGAAGATCTGATCGGTTGTAGTGGAAGGTCGTGTCAGGGGTCATTGTCGGAGATCTATAATCTGTACTAGAATTTTAACTATAAAATTTGTACTAGATTTTAACTCGACCAAAGAATATTCTACGCTTTTTTATGCTACCACATTTTCATGTCGTCTGTCCCCAAACCCCAAACTAATAAATTGGATACAATACTATGGAACACAAATATTCTTGTTAATAATAAGCATTTTTTCCAATGGTCAAATTTTAAAAATTGACAGAAAAAAACATCTGGAACGAGAAATCATCTTTGAATTATGTGAATCACGACCCAGTCGGTCCTCTATAACATGAAGAAAGTTTTAGTGTAATTTCATCAGAGAATATTCTCTATGTTGATCAATATACAGTTCTAAAGATCTGAAGCGTTACAAGGACCATAAACTATTTTATACAGACGACTTGTCAGAGCGTTAATCTTCGTGGAACTAGAGACATAAAACGGTAATATATCTTAGAGTTGTCTGTCCTTAATCTGTGTGGAATTAACTTGTCGTTTGTCGATAATTGGACTAAAAATTGCCGCACATAAATAAAGTACCTACTACATTTTGTGTCAGATATAGAGGCTCGAGGGAGTTCTGCATTAAATTTGTTTTGGGCTTATTGATGGGAGAGTGACGAGGTCAACCCTAAGTAATTTAAATTGGCTGTGTCCGTCTGTTAGAGATGTTATCTTATAAACGGTTCAAGATATTTTATGAAACTTTTTACACACATCCATCCATCAGTGACTTATGTGTTTCCATGGAAACCTATTTGACTCAGTGGCACTTGATGTTGTTTTTATCTGAAGTTGGATCCTGTCATAATTCTTTCCCTTTTAAATTACCTTCTACTTTGGAACAATTATATTGCTATAATTTTTTGTATATATTTACAATTAAATTAAATGAGGTTTAACGTCGTAATGTTCTCTACCGACTGAGCTAACGATGACAGGCATACGCTATGCAGTGTGCGATAAAGGAAATTTTGTCCGAACATTAGGGCTACTGCCCACTCTTATTTCGAATTCGAACTGTCAAGGGCTCTTTTGCGTGCATGGGCATGTGTACATGAGACATTGGTATTTCCTTCTCATTGGAAAGACTAGACACTGTTCTTTGCCAGGCTGGGGGGTTGGATGGCTGAATGGTTAGCGTGCGCGCGCTGTATCATAAAGTCTGTCATTGAGTCGACTGGCGTGGTTTCGAATCCCCGGGTGTAAGAGACAAGGAGTAGGGTCGCCTGTCCAACCTTGTGGGTTTTCTCTGGGTCCTCCGGTTTCCTCCCACTGCTAAAGACCCCTATGCACAAGCAAATTATTGAAATAAAATTAAACCATATGTTAGTCCCGAAATGACCTAGTTTGTGTCGAGTGGACGTTAAACCCCATTTCTCTCTCTCTCTCTCTTTGCCAGGCTCTCCATCCTACACGACTGACAAGAGAAAACCATGTCAAGAAATCGAGAGGCACGTGCGTGGCCAACACCAGGAGAGAACCCGAGCCCTCTAGGTTAGCAGGCCAGCATCATAGAACCACTGTGGCTCCCCTTACAATAAAAACTAAAAGTGAAAAAATGAAATGGAGTTTAACGTCGTACTGTTTTGCTCCGAACTGGGCTAATGAGGACGGGCATACACCATACAGTGTGCCATGAGGGAACTTTTTCCCGGACAGCGGCACTACGGCCTACTATTATATTGAATTCCATCTGTCAAGGGATCTTTTTTTACGTGCACGGGACCTCGTTTTTTTGTGTCATCCGAATGACTAAACTGTCCTTGTCAGGCCCCCCGTCCTGCATCACTGACAAGGGGGAACCGCGGCGGAAAATCTGGGCGAACTTTCTCGGCCAATGCAGGGATCGAACACTCAACCTCCAGGCTAGCGAGCCAGCGTCTTACCCACTTTACCGTGACCCACCAAAAATCATGGTGGGTAAGATGCTGGCTCGATAGCCTGGAGGTCGGTGAAAAGGGGAAATATATTTGAATAATGCATGATTTATTCTGTTCCACTAGATAGATATTTGAATCTTTTACTGGTAACGGTGGTAACCAGTGCCAACCAGTACCCCTGAGATGTCTGAACGTTTAAACACATCACTCTTCCATCCAACAGGGACCACAATAAAATATTAATAAACATGTACAAGATTCAAACATATTGCTCTCCTGGTGGTTATATTAATAAAGTTTGCGTACATTTGTTGTTCGGTTGGCACGATAGTAATGGTTGAATAATGAAATTAAAGTGAATTATTATACCCTTGCCTTCTAAACTGTCTGGATTCTAATGTAATCTTATTCCTATAATAATCTTATTCCTATAATAATCTTTAGTTTTATTGGCATGGTATTGTGGAATATGTCCAATTTCTGTGTCTGATTAATATACTCTAGAGGTTTAATCGGAGGTCGGTATCGGTGTGCAATAACTTCATTTGCATAATATAGAGACTCGTATATTACACTCAAGGATTTGTCAAGTAAGTTGTTCGGAGCCATTGTAACCCCCATCTATAATATATAGTTCATGTATTCCAGAAATCAAAAAAAAAAAGTCTGAATAAGATCCATGATTAGGTTAGCCAGATGACAAAATGTATAGACTGGTAGTTAGGGCATCAACGATAGACTGGTAGTTAGGGCATCAACTGGTAGTTAGGGCATCAACTGGTAGTTAGGGCATCAACGATATAGAAATGAAATGAAATAGGGATTAATATGCTGCTCTTCTGCACTGATTGGGGGGATCACGTGGCTAAGTGGGTAAGACGCTAGCTCGCTAGCCTGGAGGTCGGGTGTTCGATCCGTGCATTGGCCGAGAAAGTTCATCCAGATTTTCCGGCGTGGTTCTCCCTTGTCAGTGATGCAGGACGGAGGGGCTAACAAGGAAAGCTGTCTAGTCGTTGAGATGGGACGAAAAACCGAGGTCCCGTGTACACATTGGCGTGCACGTAAAAGATCCCTTGGCAGTTTGAATTCGATATAAGAGTAGGCCGTGGTGCCGCTGTCCGGGCAAAATTTCCCTCATAGCACACTGTATGGCGTATGCCCGTCTTCATTAGCCCAGGTTAGGAGCAGAACAGTAGGACGTTAAACTCCATTTCATTTCATAATTGCTCTGATTGGGTTAATGTAGACGAAGCAACCATATGCCGTGAGACGGTATACATGCCACGGTTCGGGTCCATGGTACTTTAATTACATCTCACTGATATGGGAACATGTTTACATTTAAAATGCCAGATGGAAAAGCCGTGTCTGCCATTAAATATCATGTACATGTTTTTATTTTTTAAGTAAACTTGGAAAGAAAAACATTCTGTGATTGTATCTTGAGATCCCTACTGTGATATGTATTCTATCGTTATGTCCATACCGTGATACGTATCGTATCGTGAGGTCCATAACATGATGCGTATCATATCGTGAGGTTAGCGTCTCATCGCAGTCCTAGCATATCGTGAGGTTAGCGTATCATTGCAGCCCTATTGGTAGTGCACATCTAAGATCTCTTGGCTTGTTGGAATTTAAAGATTATATGAACATGCCACCCTTGCATTCTGCACATAGAAATAGAAATGATCATATTCTAGTTTTGGTATGACCGATGTAAAATGTCAACGAGAAATTAAACTCCCATTCTTTAATAGAATTTCATATAGATCTGAAAAGAAATCTCATTTTATACACGTCAGACCATTGGCTCTGAGCGGATGACGGTATTAATGGACATGTTAGTTCTTCACTTCCTGCCCATTATCTGTACATGTTATAATAGGTTCCTTCTCACAAGACAATAAGTCTTTCTGTAGTAGAAACCACAAATGTTATAGGTCCCTTCTTACAAGACAGTAGTTCGTTCTGTAGAAGAAACCCCAAATGTTATAATAGGTCCCTTCTTACAAGACAGTAGTTCGTTCTGTAGAAATGAAATGAAATGGAGTTTAACATCCTACCGTTCTGTAGAAGAAACCACAATGAGCTATTAGTATAGTAATAATAGGGTGACCAGCAGAGAGTAATTGGTCGATGGCCATTCACAATGTAATCTAATTAACTGATGCTCGTGGTTTGGCAATCATCCCCAAGCAATCAGACAGTAGTAATTTTTCACCCATTATATATTTGTAGTTGAAAACCTGAGGTAAATTCTAAC